GTAGGATTTCAATGTCGGAATGTGTGCTGTAAGTGCATCCATAACGTGACCCCTCATTTCCCTACCTGACCCCTGTTCCCCGCCAGGTGTGTTTTACTGCATCTGTCTCTCAATACCTGCAACACTCACGGTTATTGATGCGGGGATTAGTGGAGACAGGCGACTCAATTAGCTCTCGTCAAAGTAGCAGCGTGTAATAGCTTTTTGTGTGTTTGGATAGGTATAACGTTGCCAGGCGCTCGGGAATGTAAAGGTGGGGTTTGGGGGCTTTAAGAGCTATGGACATTTCAGCTATATTTAGCTCTACCCTCAGCCGGGTGTGGAGGAGGTGGTGGTTTGACCCCCGGGGTGAGAATGTCACACCCATGAGATAGGGAGCTCTAGGGGCTGCGATCGATGAGCTTTGGTTGCACGGTCGATAGCTGACAAACTGTCGAGTACCTGTCGACAAAGACTATGTGTAACCGTTGTCCTGTTCCACCGTCTATCTCCAGCTCTACCTGCAAACGGCTCGAAGGGAAATATTGACTCAGCGCTCGTGCTCTTTTGATCTTTGGTCAGGCATTTGTCCACCAAAGGATGGGCAGCATATACTGAATTTTCTCGCCCCGAAAACGCGCGGTTCTCTTCTCTGACCTTCCTGAGGAAAAGTTCAAATACTGATTTCCCATAAGAAAAACAATTCAGGTAAACTAAATTTCAATTCGGCTGTTCCCTTATCCTCCCTCCGGTATATTCAAAATAAAGCTGACTTCATGATGTCCTAGTTTCACGTCATATGACCCTGGAGTGATCATGAGCCGGTCTTGGTCAGGTGTGCCTATCATACCTGTTCTCGCCTCTCTTACCTGTAATCAGAGATCAAAGATCGCCGCCTTCTCCGTTATAAGACGGTACGACATAGGTAATCCTATGTAATGTGCCTGCAGCAGAATCAAATTGAGGATGTAACTTAATTAATCAACCTGCATTTTGACTATCGTTTTTATAAACTGCAGCAAGAAACTTGGTATTCCACTCGTACACCCGCATGTTAGACTCATCCGACGTTCATGGTTTGTTTAACACTGGTTTCAATCGGGTAATTTTACGCACGCTGACGAACGTTAAACGGCGATTGTTATAGTTTAAATGTAATTCAATCATATGTATAAATATTCGAATAATTCATTTAATAACTGATTTCATTAGCATTTGAAAAGGTTATTTTGTGTAGTTGGAACTACATTGTATATTAATTTCAAATGATCGTCATATCTTTGTCGAGGAAACTATGTACATATTTGTGCGTCTCAATGGATGTTAGACCTGCAATCATCTTAGGCAATATTAATAATGTTAAACACAAATTGTTATTTGCCGCATTTAAATTTGATGTATTATTAAACCTTATATTAATTCAAAGACGTTAATACAACTGTTTTTCGTATGACTGTAGTTAAATTGTTATGACGTGAGGGATTAACTATAGCCATATGAAAAAATGGTCTTTCTTTAACTTGTTTTGAATAGTATATATTACCTTCGTTTTCTTTTCCAACACGAAAAACAAACACATGATGGCCTCGTTAAGAGATTATGGCAATTATATGCTCTAGTGGATGACTGTAACTGATATAGGTGAATAGTATCAAACACGAAGAACGGAATCTTTAACTTCAGCTGTTTGGTTGACCTTTGACTTAGTAATGCCGTCGTCGTTCTCTTCATGATTTCGGGGCCGTGGGGTAGCCTAGCGGTTAAAGCGTTGGCTCGTAACGCCGAAGACCCGGGTTCGAATCCCCACATGGGTACAATGTGTGAAGCCCATTTCTGGTGTCCCCCGCCATGATGTTGCTGGAATATTGCTAAAAGCGGCGTAAAACCAAACTCAGTCAGTCTTCATGATTTCAGCCACAAGTTCACCAGAAACTGTTGCTGATACCTTATTCAACACTTCCCAAGTACAAGAACAGGTTCCTTTAAATTTTATTTCATGCTATTTTTCAATATAAAAGTATTTACTTTCTTTAACCTTTCACGTGAATACCCTGCGGTGAAAATTCTACACACGGAAACACCACTCAAATGCCACACAAGACATACAGAATCACCCGTAGCATTACACATTCATGTGTAGATCTAACGCTCAAATGGTTTCTGAGATAATCTGCATCACTATCGGATAACCATTTCTTGTTCGATTCATGTTTAGCCACCACCAGATATGGGTGTACACTTTCATCACAATCTGTAGAACTACATACACATCTGTAGAATCCTGAAGAAATAATTTGTGAACTATTAAGTACCGAATTTAATACAACAAATTCAGAAAATCATTAGTTTTATTGAAGCTGAAGAAGAGCTGGAGTTGCAGACAGACATACAGAGTGTGTGTAAACTGTATTTAGAAACATATATTCCAATATATTACCCAATGACAGGGAGATATACAAAATGCACACACGCCTTTTAAAATGGGAGTGACGAGAGACGTCATACAAAACATAATTTCGTATTCAAATTTCAAGATGATTGGTATAAGAATGAGTAAAGAAAGATATGAGTAAGAATAAATAACATAAAACTGAGAACGTAATAACGTCAACCAGAGATGTGAACAGCTGTCGTGCCTCTGAGCCTTGTCCATTTTGTTACACAGGAGACGTATGGCCGACGTGACGCTGCATATAGTCATTAGGATGTAGCGTTATGTCAACGTAGGGATAATCTACAGCACTTCTTCTATTCTCCCTGGTCTACCTGAGATGAACTGGTGGTTAACGGGACAGACATAATTAACACTTTAGGTGTGGGGGCAATGACACGGTGGGTTGTCCTCGATAGTCGTCCCGGAGCAATGATGCGCTCTGTGATAATGACGTAGGAGGCAGCACCATTACGGCATGACGACCTCACCGCAGGCGGCGTCTTTTAGAAATAGCTAACACAATCATGAAGGCGGGTCGCTCCGGACGTCTAATTTATGACTATTTAATCTCTCATATACGACTTGTAGATTAAAGTAATTAAAATGACATTCACACATAGGAAGTGCCAAGGATTAGGTACACGACATATTCGCTGACGCTGCACCACTTCAACCCTTTGAAACAGAATCAGATAATGTTGGCATGAAGAATGATCGCTGTCCATAAAACCATGCATTAGTCAGCACGCGAGGACATGGTTTTCAATTAAGGTTTACTTGTTCGTGATTCAGAGAAATAAAGAAATACAACACGTTAAAACAATATGATTCCTTCTTGCAGTACACCTGTGTAGATAGGTCTAAGTTTCTGCTCATTCCAACACTGCATGGTCCTTTCTGTCTCTGGCTAATTTATTTCCCTACCGACAAGCCCTTAGCTAGACTAATGCGTAGTCTCTGAATATATATAATTTTGATAGTAACAAACAAGCCCATTTAAATTGAAAAGGAGCCCCAGGGAGACCAGAGATTCATAACCTAAGGAAATCTAGACTTGCTTTATTTAGGGCCTTAGCACTGCAGATAGGGCTTGGCAGTGGGGAAAATAATGTGGTTCAGGGACTGTGAGACAGACTAGCCCTTAGCCTGAAGTTAGAACTCTAAAAGAAGCAAGTCTAGATTTTCCACAGGTTCTGAATCGACCATGTCAGTTTCCATTTTAAATGAAGCTGTTTTTTTCCACACAAATTTCAGTGATCAAGGTTCGTCTATTACCTGGTTGTCTTGACAGATGTAACTTCAGCAACTGGACCTACCCCATGGTGGTGGAACACCAAATGACAGTTGTTGTAATTTACAGAGAGCGCTGGGGTGGCCTAGTGGTGAAAGCGTGTATATCGTCAGCTCAGCTCGTCACCAAAGACCGGGTTCTATTCCAAACTTGGGTACAACCTGTGGTGCCCATTTTTGACGTCCCCTGCCTGATGTTGCTGTAATCTTGCTGTAATCTTGCTTAAAGCAGCAAAACCTTGACTCATTCCTCCTAATTCACAGGATTTTCAGAAGTTGCACAACTACTTGTGAAACCGAGGTTTGTTTTACCTGGCACTGCAATATTACAGCTGTATCAAGACAGCTGAAAATTACCAAATCTGTCCCCACCTCATCCCCCCAAAATATTTAAACTAGTGGTTGACATAACGATCAAAAATAAAAACTGGAGCCTGCCCATGTGATAGTTTGGCAGCCTCTGGTCAGACAATGAGTGCTGTACCTATTCTAACCCCAGTGAATTCTTGACTCACCCTTCCCCACCTGTTGCTGGTGGACTATTGCCAAAAGTGGCATAAAACCATACTCACTCACTCACTTAACTCAACACCTGAGTGGGCCTTGTCTGACCATTACACCCAGGTGCCATGGGGTAGGTGTGTCCATCTCTGATTGCTTTTCAAGCAGTGGTGTTAAATCAGCCTACATAAACAAAGTACAGGTATACCTTACTCTGTTTTTACACCCAAATACATATACACATGGATATGTTACAAAATCTTATGCAGTAAGTAATTGGACTGTCAGGTGTGTTTGGCATAAGGTGTTATGAAGAACAAGTTATGTGAATTTCACACAACTGGGTGGATATCAAAATGGTGCAACTTACAGTTTACAAGATAAATTGGTATTCAGAAAACTTTTTTTTTATTACTTTCCTAATATAAATAAACAACTTGCTCTAAAACCTCGAAAATGTTCAGCTCATTTGGTTCTACAATCTCGCAGATGAAAACCACTATACAGCAATGTCCATTAGAGTTAAACTGTAACCACAGCTAATGTAACCCATATCAGGTACTCTAAGAAACTCCACTCATAATGGCTTTCAAATAATATTTGTTGATAATTTAAAGGACATGTGTTTGCTCTGACCCAGTGAGACGTCTCACTGTGAGGAACATCAGCTAGATAGATACAAAACGCCTTACTCAACCTCTTCCAACCGATTTTCTCATCATCTCTAAGTATTGGTACTTAAACCTTGAATGAATTTATAATACTGATAGTATTTTTATTACTGGCAGAAAAATACATATCTAATGAAAATACCCAAATATGAGCCATGGTGTTTTTATATCCTTGGCATTAAAACAGAACAAGTATGAATCACTCAATGTGGGCTGCCTAATCCATGCAGTCCCTGGCAGAGTGAGTGAGTGAATAAGTTAACCTCACCATAAACCTTCACTATAATCCTACCACAACTGGTCTACTAAAAGTGACACAGGTCCTATAAGCTTACCTCATTGGTGTGTGCACACAGTATACTGTCTGAGTGGGGTATTCATGTGTATTTGTTAACCCTGTACCAAGCAATATTCTAGTTATATCACTGTGACCCGCACTGGTCTACCAACTAATCAAGTTTGGACCAAACAATCCAGTGATTGATGATGTGAATAAAGATCCTGGATGTTGGGGTCCAATGATGAACCATCCACCTTGTTAGTATCTGAGCACCCAATCCATTTGGTAGTTTTGTTGGACAATATTAAGGCCAAATCATGACAGTCAAACAGTCCAAGGGTCATAATCCAACCAAAAATCAAAGCTGAGAGTCCAAGGATCATAATCTATCTGAATCACCATGCTGAAACAGTCCAAGGATCATAATCCATCTGAATTGCTATCCTTAGACAGTCCAAGGATCATAATCCATCTGAATTGCGATTTTTAGACAGTCCAAGGATCATACTCTATCTGACCAAAATGATGTTTGACAGTCCAAGGATCATACTCTATCTGAATCACAATGCTGAAACAGTCCAAGGATCATAATCCATCTAAATCACGATGTTAAGAAAGTCCCAGGATTATAATCCATCAGAATCTCAATGCTGAGAGTCTCAGGATAAAAATTCATCCAAATTTCCACAAGCAGCTGATTGATCTGAGTGTAAGGAACACAAGTGTGACTATATAAATACTACAGATCAAATACAACTCATGAAGTCAGCACAGGGAAGTAGTGGTCCCACACTACAGCCAGAATCATAACAAACTTGCCCTCTCACCTGGGGCTGAAACCATTCACTGGTACACAGGTGTATCATAGCATATTCAGATACAATAAATACCTTCAAAGAAATACAGTTGCAATTTGTTTAACAAAATATTCTGTACCCTTCAAGGTAACAAAAGTTGCAACATGCAATAATAGTGGGACTTACTACTGCCCTGTACTGTACAAACTTGTCTATACTGTACACTGAACTCCCCATCTCCCAAGCTTGGTGTGTTATCATATACACATATTCTTCATTACATATACTGTCATCATGCACAGACTTTCATCATCTAGAGCTATACAAATACACAATAACAAATTCACTGATGAATATGCATTAATGCCACATTGGATTATTTATTCCACAATTATAAAAGTTTTGTTCAAGGTACAAAGACTATTAAGTACTGAAAGTTGATACAATGTACATGAAAAGTTAAGCATTGACTCTGCAACACAAGACTGGTATCGGCACTGTATACTCATACATCAATTTTACACCTAGAGAGTTGCTGCTAATGAATTCATAGTTCATAGGATGCATAACAGCAAGTACTAATGTAGATTTTGAATTCAAATCACCACAAAGGTTGAGGGATCATACCTCAATGATAACAAGGATGACTGCCAACTGCTGACTAAAGATTCAGTCCACAAGACACACACTTGGATTTCTTTATAAGCAGGTACTCAGTTTACCAGAAATCACTTATGTCTTAATGTAAGGCTTGGCAGTCGGGTATAAGGTGAACGTTGTAATGCTCCACCGTGACATCAATAACAGCAAATTTATATCCAATATTATCAGGGCTCTATAAATTGCTTTTGTTAGGCTTGATTTAGTCTGTTTCCCTTCATAAGGTGTGTATGAATAATTGACAACAACGAAAGAAGATAGCATCATTAATTGTTGCTTTTATCTGCAAAACAGAAACCACTAGTATCAGCCTCTTGATATCTTTGCGGACCTTTATCTGAACTGTCAGGATATACAGGAGCTAACACAAAGAAAAACAAACAAAGAAAGGCACTTTAAAAAGAGTTATCTATCAGTCTAATTGCACTTGTAAACTCTCATAAAATATTAAAACGTTAAAAACCTTTCCTGATAATTAAAGATAATTAATACCAGTGGGTTATTTTGAAACAATATTCATCATGGACATACATAAAATATGTGAACATCATAATGAAATTAAATTGCAGGTACAGTGTATAACACAACAAAACTGACCAGGTTTGTTTAACATTAAAGAGCCTGCGATGACAAACGTCTATAGCACCAATAGAATCATAACTGCTGCACACACCATCAGACTGATGGAATACCTGGCTTCAGGTAGTGACAGGTAAACACAGGTAACTCATAGTAAATGCAACTGAACTGGACACATGAGCGTGTGCTTCAAGATGGATGTATATCCACAACATGATGGTACTGCCAAAAACTGCTTTTCTCTGTAATAACTCAGTGGAATCACAATCATATACAGACACTGAGACAAGATTTTGTGGGTTTTTTTTGTTTGTGAAAAATTAGTCACAAGCTGAAAGAACCCAAGAAGATCTATTTGAGACAAGAATTTGCTGGTATTTGACCACAGTGTTAACAGGTATTCTGTCTGGTAAATGAATCTGTTCACATGGAAGAAGGAAAGGAGGTTTCACCTAACGCGTGTAACGGGGATGACTCTCTGTCCCAAAACACAATTCCATCAAAGGTTGTCAGTCTGTTTTACTAACGGTAGAAAGTAAATGTTGACTATATTTATTTTAATCCATAGATTACTTACACCAACAGTAACCATTAGAATACCAGTAAATTAATGACATGGACCCCACTGAACAAACCTATCTCAGCGCTGAGGTGATCACAACTCCCATACTTCAACACAAGCTTACGAAAGTCATAACGCTGAGATCACTTTGTGCAACAGGGCCCTGAAATGCAAATCCAATTTAAATACTATCTGAGAGGTGTTGGTAGGACAGGACATGAGATGTGCAGTAAAATGACAAAACCTGAGATAAAATATCAATGGGAGTAGACCAATATGGGACATTCAGTCCTTTAATCTCTGGGTATAGAGCCACCAGTGGAAGATGAATGGGTGGGGAGATATGTGAGTCAGAGTGGATGTGTGTGACCTTGTGTGTAAGTGTAAGTGTGAGCATGTGTGTTATTGTGTATATGTGTGTTGTGTAGACTCACAATTAGCCCCAGAAGTAAAGTTATCTTACTTGAAAAAATATGACTAAAAGAAAATCCTCCCGAAACCAATTAAATAAAATCCAAAAGGTGCTTAGTACAATTGTTTATTTAAGAGCTGAAGCAGTCTAGACTGTAATTTGTTCTCCTGGGTCTGGGACACATACTGGGGGTGTTGATGTCGATGTATATATGACCCTAATGCTGCCTGGTCCAGCCACTGGGTGATAAATGAGAGGGGAGGGAAGTTATGGTGATTGTTTACTGAACTCTCCTACTGATAACTCAATGAGTAACTAGAACACATCCTCCACAGTATCACGGACTTCCCACTTGAGAACACAATAGTCACAGAAATCCCTATGAAAGCTGACACCTAAAATCATCAATGTCTACAGCACTAGTATTTTGTGTTTTAGGCCCTTTTAGGCCCAACCAGTTTAAACAGATAGCATCAGACTGTGTGGAAAACAAGACACAAAATTAGCTAATTCCGCAGTAAAAGGTATTTTATGTTGTTCGTATGACCCTGAGACAGGACATGATGGAAATACTTATACTCATTTGTAAAGAAGACTTTTTATTTCGTCAGCTGACACTGAGATGTTGTGTTGACTAATGAAGATGGTCATGTAAGATGGAGGTGACATTGGGTCCTGTACAGCTGACCTGACTGGATATATCAGGGCAGATCTCCCGTACTCACCAACATAGCCCAGTAGTCAGTCTGTCTGGTATGCTGGTTGGTTGGGGGGGGAGAAAGGAATGGATGTAGATAGCTATCCCACTGGACAGAGGAAAGGACAGAAGGAATTAGAAGCTGGTTGTGTGGGTCAAGGAAAGATGACACTCATTGACAATTGGCATAATTAATCCTGTACTTGATGTGAAGATTCCGCTATGTCAGTTGGCAGGTTCCATTATCCCAGCCTGACAACTACCTTAGAAACTGGCATCTCCCCCAACCGAGTCTACCCAACACTGGCTGTAGAGTCCAGCTGGGTTTCTCTCAACTCTCAAATGTAACACAATATTTCCCTGTAATCTTCTCCTTGTTTACAGAAACAATATTTGTTGTTTATTTCTGTTCATGAAACCTGTGTAATTGATGACTTGAAAAGTTGGGCTTCTTCAGAAAGAGTAAATGTTGGTTTAATTAGGCAGTTTTTATGAGTGGCATTTCACTGTCACTGTAAGGGAACACAATATCAATGCCCATTAAAGATTTCTTTCTCATCATTGGATGTGGTAATTCACACTTGAATAATGGAGACCACAGGCCAGTGTCATTAGATGCACCCAACGAATAGTTGCACCCACCGTATCCCCTTCATAAACAGAGTCTATGGGTTCAGCATCACTGCTAGTTTGGTACAACTCACCACTTTAATGGCCCCAGGTCCCAGCCCAACCCTAGGGGGGCTAATCAGCTTTAGGTGCCCCTGGGTGAGGAATGTTGGTTCACTGTCATTATCCCTGTCCCTGTGATTACATTCAACAACTTACACATCTGGAAGTCACTTCTTACATGGCAGGCAGTGGGAGGGGCACAATCAACCTCTGGGGTAGAGGTGGGGGCAGGACTTCAGTGACAGAGCATATGGGGGTGGGGAAAGTGGTAGAGATGAGCAAGCAAGGGGATCAGCCTCTGAGAGATGTTTGAGGGTGGGGTGCTTGTGGTGTTTTGGGGGCAGAGGGAATACCTGTAAAGGTAGTGGGAAGGGTATAGTGGTATACGGAGGCACAAGTAAGAGCAAGGGACATGTATGACATAGCCTGACCATTAGGCCCAGAAATAAAGTTATCTTATATAAAATATATAAAAATATATTTATCTACAAAACAAATCCCAGTGGCGCCCAGAACAATCCTTAATATCATAATTTTCCTAAATCATTCTAGACTTGAATATGACTTATTCATTTATTTTATTTACTGTATTCTCCATGGTCTGGGAGACAGGCCACATATGACACTGACAGAGGTGAAGGTATGGGCTGTTGAGGTATGGTGTAACCATGATGTAGATCAAGTGGGAGAGCAAACCACTTCTAGTGGGGCATGAGGACACAGTCTTTTCCAAACACTAACATGGACAATATGCTGAACTGTTTACCCAGTTAAACCACCTATGCACCTCAGCAAAAAAAGAGACACTTCTGATTTCATCTGCAAGCAGCATTACACAGTTCTGGATGAGCAAAAGGACCCTACAATGACCAAGTAAAGACGATGACACAATGCGACAACACACACTCTTCAGCCTGTATCCATTGCAGCTAAAGTAGTCAAGTGTTGAAAGGGCTGATAACAGAGATAGGGATCAGCTCCTTGGCTTGTCACTACAGCCCTGGTCTGGCCTCCACATTAGGGCAGCAGCAATCATTATGTCATCAGTACTAGATAAACAGGTTACTTGCCATGTGTTCCTTCAATCAGTAACACAACCCGGCTGAGCAAGGTCCCTATCATGGCCATTATACTGCTTGGGGCAACACTATCAATAGGCAAACAGCACATGGATATCAGCCAAGTGGTTGATAAATATGGCATATACAGTTTAATATGACATCTTTGTGGGATATGTGTCCTTTAGAAAAAACACATTATGGTTTGTTATAAAAAATTAATGCCACTTCCAGCCTACTCAAAGAATAATCTTAGGATTAATACATACAGAAGGTCGTTTATTTGGCTTGGTATAGTGACAGATTTACAAAGCTGTTATGTTAAATCAGGTATAACAGGCACAATGTGGCTGACTCATGGGAGATTACTGAGTACGCATATCTGTCCTGTACACGTAGCTGACATCAATGAATAGTCCTACCTGTCTAAGGCTGTAAGCTCTGGCTACCCACCTACTCCAGCATATCTATACAGATACACAGCTGTAGCCTACAGCTAATGCCTACTCCAGGTGTACCCAGAACATCTTGATATATAGGCAACTGTAGCCTACAAGGCCTACTCCAGGTATACCCAGAACATCTTGATATATAGGCAACTGTAGCCTACAAGGCCTACTCAAGGTATGCCTGGAACATCTTGATATATAGGCAACTGTAGCCTACAAGGCCTACTCAGGTATACCTAGAACATCTTGATATATAGGCAACTGTAGCCTACAAGGCCTACTCAAGGTATACCTAGAACATCTTGATATATAGGCAACTGTAGACTACCAGGCCTACTCAAGGTATACCTACAACATCTTGATAAGCAGCTGTAGCCTACAAGGCCTACTCAAGGTATACCTACAACATCTTGATATATAGGCAACTGTAGCCTACTCAAGGTATGCCTGGAACATCTTGATATGTAGGCAGCTGTAGCCTACAAGGCCTACTCCAGATATACCTGGAACATCTTGATATGTAGGCAGCTGTAGCCTACAACCAGGACTTTCCTTGGTATACCTAGAACATCTTGATATATAGACAGCTGTCTACAACTAGGCCTTCTTAAGGTATACCTGGAACATCTTGATATATAGACAGCTGTCTACAATTAGGCCTTCTTAAGGTATACCTGGAACATCTTGATATATAGACAGCTGTCTACAATTAGGCCTTCTTAAGGTATACCTGGAACATCTTGATATATAGACCAGCTGTATACAATTAGGCCTTCTTATTTCATCAGAACATCTTGATGGGTCAAAAGCAAAATAAGACCTCTTTTTACAATATGATCATGAGATGATGATGGTATACTAGACAAGCATTAGTAACACCAACTAGATGCAGTTTTTTTATGATGATGATGGTACTAGACAAGCATTAGTAACACCAACTAGATGCAGTTTATTTATGATGATGATTATACTAGACAGGTATAAGTAACACCAACTAAATGCATTTGTTCTTAATGCTTGATGCATTGCAATCTTCAATAGCCATGTCAATTGAACTTAAGATGTAGGATGATAGAATTACAGACTAATTCTTCACACAATGATGGTTCTTCAGTCAAACTTGATCCTGTGAAGGAGAGAGTCCTGTTTTCCCAGGGTACATGAGGGTGAGAGTTGTTATTCTCCCAGTAGTGGTATGTTGTAGGAAGACTGAAGTTGTCTATGCAAGAAATAGTCCTGTAACACACTGTGGCAGTTGTAGCTGATGGTGTTGGCACATGCAGACTGATGTCAATGACGATGTTGTGAATCTACATGCTGACACTGCCGCCGTCTTTGTACTTGGTGAACACATTGTACAGCACTCTTAATGTCGACTTGAGGTCAAGGTTGACAACATCTGCAAGAGAAAAATAATGATCATCATATTATGTTTGTCTCATACACTAGCAGAGGACAAAGAATGAGGACAGATATTTCAGATCATAGCTTCATTTCATGACAAGACTGACTGACTGAGTTTGGTTTTACGCCGCTTTTAGCAATATTCCAGCAACATCACGGCGGGGGACACCAGAAATGCCCATGTGGGGATTCGAACCCGGGTCTTCGGCGTGACGAGCCAACGCTTTAACCATTAGGCTACCCCACCACCCCTTCGTTACAAGAGGGGCGGTGGGTAGCAAAGTGGTAAAGCCGTGCACTCGTCACACTGAAGACCCAGGTTCAATTCCCCACATGAGCACATTGAGTGAAGCCAATTTCTGGTGTCCCCCGCCATGATATTTCTAGAATATTGCTAAAAGCGTTGTTGTTAACCCTAACCCACTCACTCACTCATTACAAGAGTGTGCTGTGTCAGGTCAAAATATGGATGTGTTCTGTTTAACTTTGCAGTAAGCAATATTCACACCATATCATTGTGACCTGTAAATAACTGTGCTGGACCCGGCCAACCAATGCCTAAAAGCATGACTACACTGTCCAGGGTACAAACCAATGCCTAAAAGCATGACTACACTGTCCAGGGTACAAACCAATGCCTAAAAGCATGACTACACTGTCCAGGGTACAAACCAATGCCTAAAAGCATGACTACACTGTCCAGGGTACAAACCAATGCCTAAAAGCATGACTACACTGTCCAGGGTACAAACCAATGCCTAAAAGCATGACTACACTGTCCAGGGTACAAACCAATGCCTAAAAAAAGCATGACTACACAGTCCAGGGTACAAACCAATGCCTAAAAGCATGCATGACTACACTGTCCAGGGTGACTACACTGTCCAGGGTACCCAATGCCTAAAAGCATGACTACACTGTCCAGGGTGCTGCCTAAAAGCATGACTACACTGTCCAGGGTACAAACCAATGCCTAAAAGCATGACTACACTGTCCAGGGTACAAACCAATGCCTAAAAGCATGACTACACTGTCCAGGGTGGCCAAACCAATGCCTAAAAGCATGAAAAGGGTACATGATGCTACACTGTCCAGGGTACAAACCAATGCCTAAAGCATGACTACACTGTCCAGGGTACAAACCAATGCCTAAAGCATGACTACACTGTCCAGGGTACAAACCAATGCCTAAAAGCATGACTACACTGTCCAGGGTACAAACCAATGCCTAAAAGCATGACTACACTGTCCAGGGTACAAACCAATGCCTAAAAGCATGACTACACTGTCCAGGGTACAAACCAATGCCTAAAAGCATGACTACACTGTCCAGGGTACAAACCAATGCCTAAAAGCATGACTACACTGTCCAGGGTACAAACCAATGCCTAAAAGCATGACTACACTGTCCAGGGTACGAACCAATGCCTAAAAGCATGACTACACTGTCCAGGGTAACCAATGCAAACCAATGCCTAAAAGCATGACTACACTGTCCAGGGTGCAAAAGCCAATGCCTAAAAATGCCTAAAAGCATGACTACACTGTCCAGGGTACGAACCAATGCCTAAAAGCATGACTACACTGTCCAGGGTACAAACCAATGCCTAAAAGCATGACTACACTGTCCAGGGTAGGATAATACAGCTGTCAACTGGTAACACGCTGTGATCACACAGTGTAAACACCAATGATGCTAACCATTGCTTACATATAATATCAGTATCCCCCATCTGTATGTCAGATAGCCAGACAGTGAGTGAGTGAGTTTGGTTTTACTCCGCTTTTGCAATATTCCAGCAATATCACGGCGGGGGACACCACAAATGGGCTTCACACATTGTGCCCATGTGGGGAATCGAACCCGTGTCTTCGGCGTGACGAGCGAACGCTTTAACCACTAGGCTACCCCACCGACCCTCCAGACAGTGACATACAATATATAACACAGTGTTAATGAGACAGATCATAACATCCACAAAATAACATTAGCCATTTGCCCACACTGTGTTAAAGAGCCAGACAGTAAGAGCTGGTAGCTTTACCAAACACTTTTATGAATGACTAGGGTTATGGTTGTTGTCATGCACGTTTACAGCACTATCATAAGAAAGGTGTGAAAGGGGTATACAATGGTACACACAATGTAACTCCACTCCAGGTGTTCTGCGTGACAAGCAAGTGCACATTCTACCTGTGTGCCCCTGCACCCAATCTCAGCTTTTAAACTCTGCTTCATAATTCTCACATAATATCCTATTTACTCTGGAAATTTTGAAATAGGAATACAATTTGGTTTCTGTTTTTTTTCTTAAAAGTCATTTGAAGTTGATGGAAGAAAAATGTAAAACTGAGAACACATAAAGCTTGTGATTTTTAATCCATGGAACATGCAATTGTACACACATGACAAGAGTAACAAAAACAATTTATAAAACAAGATAAAAATAATAAAAATAACAATAATAAATAAAATATAACAACAACAAAAATAATAATGATAACCATTTGTTTGGTGCTTTTCACCATTCTGGTACAGTATACCATTCTCTGAAATATATAATTTTGATAGTAACACACCAATACAACAGTAACACTGGTGAAGAGAGGGCTAGGCAGTGAATCCAGTGGTTCTGAGTGATATCCCAACAGCCTGCAATTCACACAGACAAGTCTCCAGGTGGTTGATAGCATGACAGTGTTATGGTCAGTATGACAACACATTGTGACCACCCAATTACACCTGTCCATTGCTACAACAAGCATAGGTTGGTTTTGATTGTGCACAATGCACAAAATAGCAATTTCCCCAAAACCTGTAGCAAAGTAAGGCAGGTGCAAGTTATACTAAATCACACACTCTACACAATCCTTTGGGTCTGTTCTGCCGTGGCAGCCAAACACAAGGAAATATGCCTAGTAAATACATTCAATAGTTGGATTGATCACTGACATAATATTATATGCCATGCCATTATCTTCCAAGCATCTATACAACCGATGAGCAAACGAAGACTTAATCGGAATGATTGGAATCAAAATTATTCCCAAATGAATAGTTGACAGAAATCACATGATTCTGATAAAACAAGTCTACAGCATCAGCAACTATCAGTTATCATTCAATCAATCTCTTCCTGCATCAGCAATCTGAAGGCCATGAAGGTTTAAAGTCAATTTAACACTATCAGTTAACATTCTAACCATCTCAAACTCTCAAATACGTCAACTCTCTGATGCCCATTCTCACTTTATTAGCTGTCTGCATGTAACATATGAAACGCAAGACAAAGGCAGTTGAATAATTAAAACACGGAATTGTCACGGAGAATATCATACTCAGCAAAGGGCAAATCTTAACTTTCAGATGGTGATATGGAACTCACAGAATCATCACACACTTTCAAACAAAGACATAATCATAGCAGACTACCAGTGCCAGCTCTGTCCTGACTAATTGAAAATTGAAGGCTTTGTCCGGACGAGGGACACATGAATTACTAATGCTTGCCCAAGCCTTGCCGAAAGTCACAAAACTGCTGCAGGCGAGCGGGATCAAATAGGCCTTGATAATACAACATAGGAAACAATGGCTGATCAGGCATAAGTGGTCGGAAATGAAATGTAATACATCATAATCTGGGGCTCTCAATATAACCACACTTTCTGTGGTTCCTCAGCAGCACTTTGTTTAATGTTTCTCCGAGTTGCGTATCTGGGTTCCTATAATGTAACATGTCTTGTGTGTCAAAAGGAGTCCTCAGGCCTTTATGGAATGGGACCAATTGGTGCTTCACAAGGCGCTTTAAGACTTTGATGAAATTAACAATGGCAAAGATTGAACAAAGTTGGGAGGATAATAACCTATACGTAAGAGGCTGGCCTCATGCATATTTGCCTTGCAGTAGGTGTCCGGCTGACACTAGAGGGAGCCACCTGCTTCAAAGCTGCTTGTCTGACCAGTTCGGAAACATCAGGAAATGCCTTTGCTTTGAACAAAATAACAGTTGTATGGATTCTTTGAGCTAAAAATGCCTCCTTAAGGGTGACATTAGAAGTTCTGTGGTACAAACAGGTTTTTTCTGATCGAATAAGTAGGAAAAAATGATACCAAAACAGAAGGGAAAGGTTGAGACTGAATAATGTCTCAAAAAATAAAGGAAAAACAAATAATTGTTGTTTCTATCAGTGTCATTAAGTTTGTTTGATTTTGTAACTTCAAGACACTAAGCCCACTGTAACACTGATACATCTGCCGATCTGTGTATAGCTACGGGATCAGAGCCTGCATAGAACAGACTTTTTTTAAATATCACTTAATCACAGCTTCTGAAAACTGAAAACTATATTAATGACATAAATATTTCATATGCAGAGCAGCCAGATCATTTATCTGAAAAGGTGATCACGGTATTAACGTTAACAATGCATGGAGCATGTGAAACCAACACACTTCAAGTGTGGAACATATCTTAATGTTGTGGGCCCACAATTTCTAAAATATACATATTTTTTTCTATAATAATCAAAATCACTAGTCCATTAATGTTTCAAATTCAAATAAATTTTTGAACTATATTCAATGAGAATACTGAATTAAACTAATTATGTTTTTAACTCATACAGTATTACTCATGTCCCCATTGAAAATGTCAATAGTAAATGTACCTACTGCAGAGAATTCATACAAACAGCTTACTTGCTTTCCAAATAAACCAAGTTTAGCCTGACAAGAAAATATCGTAAATTAATCGTGTAAACTAAGGAAATCCTATACATTATGTTAGAACCAAACACTTGGTAGCACTGCATCTGTAGATCTAACATTACACAGCTGATGAAGAGGAGGAAAGAAGGGGTGGGGGAAGAAAAGCCAAATTTCCATGGCAACAGGAAAGGGGGAGTGTAGAGCCTGTTGTTGCATGTATCAGTGATGCTGGGGGGATAAGGGATGGGGAGGGGGGTCAGCAGTCTGGCTGAGTCTGCCTGACACAT